CTTTTCCACGGCCAGCATTGCGATATACCCCCTCCAGCGACATTTGGGGTCTCCAATGGCATTAAGTCCATCGTCTCCCGTCTCCTCTGGCGTGGCTCCTAGCGGCTCCTGACGGCAGATTATAACGCCCACAAGCTTGTGCTGCACTCGTGCAAGGATGCTCAGCTGGGGCCAATTGTAAAGAAAGTAGCGGTACGTAAAGATTGAGTAAGGTTCAGAGAGGTCTTTATCAATTAGCTTTACAAGCTCTGCGAGTTGTTTTTCACCTTCGTACGTTAAAAAGACAACAGCGTTCGCATCAGCTGGTACAGACTTGGACTTCACCATTATTGATCTTTATTTATAAAGGTTTACAACATTCTGCTAAGTGCGATATATATGCAACGATTGAAGCTGTAGTATTAAACTTACGGTTTCTTAAGATGGCAATTAATGTGCCAGAAAAGAACTCTTTGAACTTGCTGTCACCGCTCGATACGACTTCCATCGTGATCACTTCAATCGTTTAATCAAGACGGAATCGTTTACTGAAGCACTTGAAATATTATGGCGATGGTCACCATTTTGAAACTTGAACCGAACTTAACACATCTTCTTGCAAATTACTGGCCAGCAGAGCTCCGACAGTCATTTCCCCCCTCAATGTGCAACCGTGTCTTACTCTATGTCATAGTAGTTGCGCAATACAAATTATACTCGGTTGGCTCATAGAGCCCCCCTCCTCCAAAGCTCAGTCATTATCCAACTCGGAAACCCACGGCCAAGTCACTCGTTAATCTTCCGTCACCGTCAACATAATGGCACCAAAGCGTCGTTCTCGTAAGACTACGAAAGATGTGTACGCCAATTTGCCCAATGAAGAACGTGCAAAGCTTGGTGCTGAAGCTAAGGAGCGCGGAAATGCCGCATTTTCCTCGGGTGACCACGCTACAGCCATCAAAGAGTTCACAACGGCCATCGCATACGAGCCAACTAATGTAATTTACTACTCGAACCGCTCGGCTGCTTACCTGTCAGCAGGCCAAGCCACACCAGCCATGCAAGACGCCAAGTCATGCATTGAGTTGGACGCAAAGTTTGCCAAGGGGTACGCTCGTTTAGGTGCCGCCCATTTTTACATTAAAAATTACGCCAAAGCCATCACTGCCTATACTCAAGGTCTTACTGTCGAAAAGGGTAATAAGGCATTGCAAGCCGGTTTGACACAAGCACAAGCTGCACAACAAGTGCAAGACGAAGAAATCAGTGGTGTTGAGATGGATGAGGCCACGCGGAAGATGAAGCGTATGGAAATTGAAGCAAAGATCAACAAGGCTCGAAAGGAGCGTGAAGAACGTGCAAAGCGCGCTGAAAAAGGATTCTCGGAGGTCATTGGTATTGATTTGGGTACGACTTACTCATGTGTGGGTGTCTGGAAGGACGGTCAAGTCGAGATCATCGCAAACAGTGAAGGAAATCGTACTACTCCATCATGGGTTGCTTTTAATGAGAGTGAACGTCTGATTGGTGAAGCTGCAAAGATCCAAGCTGCGAGTAATGCCACGAACACGATCTTTGATGCCAAACGTATCATTGGCCGCAGTTTCAGCGACGAGGTCGTGAAAAAAGATGCGACGCACTTTCCCTTCACGATCAAGGAAGGAGACGATGATAAAGTGTTGATTGAAGTGGACTTTAAAGGTGAGAAAAAGAGCTTCACACCAGAAGAAATTTCATCTATGGTATTGCTGCGAATGAAGGAGACGGCTGAAGCGTTTTTGGGCCAAAATATTTCACAAGCTGTTGTGACCGTCCCCGCATACTTTAATGACCAGCAGCGACAGTCGACCAAGGATGCCGGTTCAATCGCCGGACTTGACGTGAAGCGTATTATCAATGAACCTACAGCGGCTGCTTTGGCGTATGGACTCGACACAAATGCAGGCACGGACGGCAAGGCGTGCAACGTTTTGATATTCGACTTAGGTGGTGGTACCTTTGATGTATCGATTCTATCGATTGAGAATGGCATTTTTGAAGTCAAATCGACAGGTGGTGACACTCATTTGGGTGGTGAAGACTTTGATAACAACATGGTTGAGTATCTTCTTTCGGAGTTCAAGCGCAAAAATCGCAACATGGATCCGTCTACTTCAGCTCGTGCTATGCGTCGTCTTCGGACTGCCTGTGAGTCGGCTAAGCGAATGCTATCATCTACAACGTCAGCTTCGGTCGAGGTTGATTCGCTTTTTGAAGGCGTTGACTTTTCGTCTACTGTTACCCGTGCCAAGTTTGAATCGTTAAATGAAGAGTTGTTCAAACGATGTGAAGAGACGGTTTTGAAAGTGTTAGAAGATGCCAAAATGAAGCCAGAAGACGTGACTGAATTGGTTCTGGTGGGAGGTTCGACGCGTATTCCCAAGGTCCAGACGATGCTTTCTTCTCTCTTTGGTGGTAAAGAGTTGTCTAAGTCGATCAATCCCGATGAAGCTGTTGCATATGGTGCTGCTGTGCAAGGTGCGATTTTGGATGGCATCCGTAATGACGCGACGAACTCGCTGCTGCTGGTCGATGTTACACCGTTGTCGCTCGGAATTGAGACAGTTGGGAAAGTCATGTCAGTGCTTATTAAGCGAAACACGGCCATTCCCGTGCGCAAGACCCGTGTATATACAACTGAGGAGGACTACCAGACTTCAGTAGACGTTTGCATTTACGAGGGTGAACGCGCTTGTGTTGAGTCGAACAACAAACTGGGCGAATTTAACATTTCGGGACTTGAACGGGCCAAGCGTGGTGAGCCACAGGTGGAAGTGACGTTTGAAATTGATGCCAACGGAATATTGAACGTGTCGGCTCGTGACAAAAAGACGGGTGCCAAAGCAGAGACTACTATCTCGAACAATCGTGGACGTCTGAGCCAGGAAGACATAGATCGAATGGTTGCCGAGGCGGACAAATTTAAGAAGGATGACGCTGAGATGCTGCGCCGCATCGAGGCCCGCAACGACCTTGAACAATTCATCTACCGAGCTATTGAAATAGCTCGCGAAAAGGGCGATACCAATACGGAGAGCGCAATTCGTGACGCCCGCGATTGGCTTGAGGATCACGAAGAGGCCACACTTCGTGAGCTTGAAGATAAGAAGCGTATGCTTGAGCGCATGGTTCGCTTTTAAGGGATCAGTTAGTTATATCGGCGTACAGATGAAAAGATAGCTTGCTTTCATTTACTTTTAAGATTGGTATACTGCCTTGTAAATGCAACAACAAACTGTATCGAATACTTAAAAATGTTCCCAGCGTTGACCATCCAGAAATTTAAACTTTGCAGAGTCGTGTGACTACGTACTTAATGTTTGCACTATAACCATCCGACAATCGCGTAATGGAAAATTACAAGATTGTGAAATGTCAAAAAGTTTTGATCGGGAGCATCTGAGGATCCGCACAGATTTTTACGTATTTTGTGGCTGTTAAAATTATAAGTCAGATAGGAGTCTCAGTTTCATCGAATTGACTGCTCTGAGGAAGTCAAGTGCAAGAAGAGCTTGAAGCTATATTTTCATGCTCAGCGAATACTTAAACGCAGACCCAATTTTCTTAATGGATAATTCTTAATGGATAAATCAAGAAAAATCTCACAACTTATTTGGCATGGTGTAACGGGTTCACGAGCAGGGGTGTGTATGTCACACGAGATGTGCATGGCCCTACAGTATTAATGCTGCATGTATTTAGATTTTACTATATATATTTAGTAATATTTAGGAAAATCTGAACATTAAATTGAATAAAAATAAAAAAATCAGTTTGGAATTTGAACCGAAGAGTCGATAAGCCTTGGGAAGGCAATAATTACTCTTGGAGTAAGCGGATTGCGACCAGCTAACTCATACTTGGTTCTTGTAAAGGACGAAAGATCGGTTACCTAAAATACGCTTCCTCAAGCGTTTTGCTACGGCAGCCCCGCTGCACATGGCGTCTCTGTATTTTGGTGTTTTGCACTACCTCCAAAGTGGTGTTTTGCAAAGAAGCAGCTTCACCAATGATAAATTAGCTAGCTTAATTTTTACAAGTTGATGTCAGTCTGAACTGTTGTATGCATACAGCGCAAACTCGAAGTAATGTAAACTTCGTGAAAGTGTAATTTGAAAAAATCAGAGATACCATATAGATGAATTGTTGAAAGTGATGAAACTCCGTTTAGAAAAGTTCTGTAAAATACGTGGGCTGTTTAACCTTAAGGGAAGCATTTCAAGCAGCTTAGTTTTGGATTTAATACTCTCATAATTTGGCAGAAAAACTTTATTCTATATATATATGTCATACTCGAAATAGAAGAGCAGCCTGTACTTGGTTGAGCTCGAGACTCTCAGGTCCGATCCTGGTTAAAGCACACATTGCGTTTAAAGGCATACTGCTCGAAGCAACGCTTGTCACGGATTATGCACCGCAAAAGCAGGCTCATCGAACGTGTTCTTGTCTGTTCAACAAGAGAGGCAAAATTTGGCCTACTGCGTCCAGTAGTTGCGAATTCTTATTGCCGTGTCGGCACTAGACCCTATTCCTGAAGCGGTAACAGGTACCATATTTATAGTAGGCCATTGAAGGGGTGCGGCTCTTACCGATACCATCCAACTCCATCCTACTCCATATGAGGAGGCGAAAATTGGAGTATCGAATACGGTGTAAAGCAATAATGCTGCTCGTGCTGGTCGGAGTACTAAAGGCGGAAGCTCAATAAGCGCGCTTGAGACGATAAACCTCAGCGTGGCTGGGGTCCATCGCAAAGGAGGAACGAGATATCTATTAGCTGCTGATTGGCTCCGTGATACTTGCAGATATTTTCTGGGACAATACTAATCACCTTCGACGTGCTTACTTCAATATTGTCTGAGGGCCAAAAAGATGTTAGCCTTAATGTTGAAACGTTTGACGTAGAAATGGTCAATTTTCATTAGTCTGATGATTAATGGATTTTTATCGCTCCTCTTGGATTTTGTGGACAGTGGAACCCATATTTTGGTAGATCGATATTCTCGGAGAGAGGTGGGAATCCAAGCAAAGAATTACTAATATTGTCGTCCAGAATTTGTGCAGTCGTAAAGATCTAACAGATACAGGATCGCCGTGCAAGGAAGGACGATGTACGTCCAGCGAGAATAGCAAACGATACGTATTAAGGATACCAGATCACCGGAAAATATCCATGCGTCTTGCGACGGGAACCTTAGTAAAAGTCTCGAAGGTAAACTAAGCCTTTAAATGAAGCTCGATAACTCTGACAGCTTGTGACGCTATCAACATTTTTAATTGTTTTCGAGAATGATTCCATCTTCGAATTGCGTGGCTTGAAAGCTATAAGCCATGGGCTGACTGACATATGAAAACGTTAGGTAATATGCACAACTCTATTGGTGAAGCTTTAGAGGATATAAATCCACTTTTGTCAGAATTCAAAGGCGCTATTAAAGCACAAACAAAGCTGCTATAGCTTTTGTGGAATACATAGAAATGTTTGAAAGTGATGGCTCTAACATAGCAAGATGGTTTGAGCAGATCCCGGAAGGTGGAAGTGACAGTGAGCTGCAAACACAAGGTGAGAACGAGAACAGTGACCGTAAATCGCGGTGTTTAAAAGGTCTGCCGGTGGGGGCAGAAAGGAGCAGTAAACTGATGTGGACTCTTGTGCGATATCTCTGGTGAGGCAATAACTGTAACCTAGTGTCTCTTGGGCTAGAGTATGCGAAGATGAGTAGGAGAGCCAGGATGCCGCGGTTTCTTGTACCAGAGCTGGTGGATTTGTAGAGCAACTGAAGTCGCAGGTTGAAAGGCTAGATCCAAAACCTTGAAGGGGTGACTCATGGTCGCTACGGTGCGACGAATTCACCGTGCAGAGCAGTAAAAATGCACGGGTAAATGGGTAGAAATCTTTTTACTCGTGATCAGAGTGACCGGGGTAGTCCGAAGGGTTGGCCTCCGATAAAATCTCTCATAGAGCTAGTGAAATTATCACAAGGAGTTGTTTATAAGAAATAAATAAACGTAGAGGTCACCGAAAGGGCTCCATTTGTCATCACAGAAAGAGCGTAGCTCATCTCGTTATGGATGATGCCATGTTTGAGATCACTGAGTGCACAGTGTAAGGCAGTTATTCTCGGGATCCAACTCATTTTTTGCACAGAAAATATCACGACGTGGTGAAAGGCGAGCCACCATGAATATTGCCACTAGATCGGGAAGTGCGTTATGGAATAACTTGGCTCCCAGAATGAACTACTGCGTCATACGTTAGTGGGCTTCTACCGAGGGATTAGTGTACCATCAAAGACTCTTTTGTCCGTGCAAGATTCGGCGCAAACTTGGTGAAAGCAAGAAAATTTCTTAAATTGACGTCGAATTAAAGTCAAAGAAAGAGTAACGGCGAGTGATCAACTGAGCAATCTTATACAGAGTTTACTGCATCCAAAAGCACCGATGTCTCGAAAGTTGTATGGCAGAATTGCACGGTCATCTGTACGTTGTTTAGTGACCTCGAGCCAAACAGGACATTATTTGTTGCTCATGATACAGAGCAATTTATCTCACTCTGGTCATCGTTCCGAGCGGAATGCTGTAGAGTTGGCTAGCTATTTTTCAAAGACCGTAGATTGCAAATGCGATGTTTGATTGATAGATATGACTGTTTTGGCCGCATCGTCCCTATGCAGAAACTTGTTTGACGTTCATAGCGGTACACAGTACGAGAAGTTGGATGAAAGCACTTGCACTTAGATATTGCGAGCAGTGTTTGAGTGTACGATTTCAAATAAGCTATACACTTATATTGATGAGTGTTGTCTTGAGCACCACAAAGTCCCCTCACTGAAGATAATTTTAGAGAAGAGGATTATCTGCGGATTTACTTTAAAATGTTCATGACACTATAAAGTAAATAGTGCCCCTATTTGAAAGGCTTCGTCGCTTTACAGATGAGGTTTGGCCTAATCAACTACTCGCACAAGTGTAGTACAATATACAATATGGCCCTCGTTAGCTTTCTTGAATCGGATGTCAAATGATGCTGGAGTGTACTGTAATATGCAGCCTTTAATACTGTAGAAGCAAGTCTAATGCGTACATTGGTCCCGGTTCTTCCTAACCCAGTAGACCACTTTATATCGCCGGCCACGCTGTAAATTTTACTACATGCCGACCTCCTTTCTACGCAGATACTTTTGGATATGAATGCGTCAACAACTTAAGAATTACCAAAAAAAGCTGCAAGGAGTTATTTGTGGACGAAATTGAGCTAAGTGCAATATAACATGATCTAGCCAAGGTCAGGCACCTGCTTGGCTCTAAGGTATTTGTGATTGATACAAATCATGCGTAGTTGCGCACATCAACTTGTCACAAGAGCTTTCGCAGAAAGAGAGAAAGAGAAGAAAAAAGAAAAGAAGAGAAGAGAAAAGGAAAGAAGAGAAAAGAAGATAAGTTTTAATTAGCAAAGTATACCCTCGAGGTAAATTATATTGGCCAGATTAGCTTGAACTTCTGGCAACCATGCGCTTTCTTGCCGCCCCAACTATCGATGACCACATGCCACGACATTGACAAGGCAAAATTATGTGTAGAGACGAAACGTGCTTTTTTCAATGGGATACACTTTGCCATTACATGAAGACTCATCAATGTATCTTCGAATACACTGTGGGAATCTTTTAAAAGGAAATTTTAGCATGATATCCCCGAATGCATATATATGAAGTCACAAATAATTTATGAAATACAGAATGCTGATTCCTACTTTGGGTTCTGTACTTCTGACAAGACCGACGTGTCTCTGTCTTCTGAAGTTGGTGGCCGAAGCCAGTCACTTCTAGCCCAAAAAATCCACGAAAGTCAAACTTTTCAAACATCAAGCCCGTACACACACGATCTTGTAAGAGCTCTGATGTTCAAACTCAGTTCACTTTTGAATTTATAAATATGGAACCAGGGTTTTACTAGTGAAACCTCTAGAAACCTTTGGGCTTTTTGCATGTAGCCAGAAATCATTAACTCAACTCACTTCAGTTGTAAATTTTCCCTTAAGTCCTTATATCGATTTTTCTCCCTCCAAGTCGGAACTGTCTTTCTCCTCCACGCCAGGAATCGCTTCCTCGTCGCACAAACGTGTGTGTTGATTGGGAGA